GATGACAGGCGGTGCAGAATTGATTGACAGGCTGGACAAGGTGTTGCATTCAGGAACCACCAGCTACGAGTGGAATGTTGTTAGTCCAATAAATGTCTCTTATTAGAGGTTATCAGTTCCAAAATGTCTGCTTCCTTTACCTCCTGGTAGGTTGGAAGGCACTTATCAATCATTTGTATGCCTGATAATGTGCTTTCAGGCTTAGTGGGTTTAGCTTCTCCCCCCTGGATGTGGAGCCCAGGCGGTCTGCCCGACTCACTTTGACCGGGGGAGGCACTCGATCTGTGGCATGGAGATCTAAGCTGTAGCCGGGGCTCGCTCCAGACATTGATGCTAACAGACGGACAGCGGAGTTTTCCGGGTCTGCTCAGACATGTTTCAAACGTTATTCAGCTGTTCTCTGCTGCGATTAACATTTACTGAAACTATTGTGTGTTTTTATTTCTGTTTGACAATGGAAAAGGGGAATGTATTTAATCTTAAACAACCAAAATCCAACTATTAAACCAGCCGTGTGATTCGGTTCAAATTTCTGTCAGCCGTAGCTTCCTGAAGGTTCGTCGAACTCCGAGGTGGATTTATTTTATTTATTTATTTTCATATTTTAAAGACAAAGGAGTCCTGCGACTGGGATTATTTCATTTAATTATTTCATTTATTTATTTAAAAAGGGTAATGCACATTAATCAATATTCTGTGACTATAAATGTGCTTGAATTAGCACAACAGCTAAATTTCATCCATAGTCCTCCTGAGCAGTCTACTTCTCCCTCCCGTCTCCTCTTCTGTTGTCCAGGAGGAAAGWAAGCAAACATCCGGGAATCGCAGCCAGCTCTCAACCTGTCCCCGCCTACAGGGCGGTCGACTTTGGCCAAAATGTCCCTGTTGGTTCTTGAACGTATATCTCAAAAAGTACCGAAGAATTTTATGGTGAGAAGGYTGAGATGAGAGATCAACATGGAGAGGAGATGGAAGCTGAATGGAACTCTSTTTGTGCCAGACCAAAAAATCTCTCAGGAAGGATTCAGCTCTCAGATGACATCGAATGGCCAGAGTTACAGAGAAATGATTTTTCTCCTCCAGCAAGGAGAAGAAAGCAACAGGCTGTAATCAAAACACCTGATAACAGCCAGAGAAATGAAGCAGTGTTTCTTCAAAACAGATTCACACCACTGGAAGAAACTGGAGTCTGAACAAAGTTCATCTGCTGACCTAAGAGAGGGATCTGAGACCAGATCCAACTCAAGGCCAAAGCAGGTCCAAAAAGAGGCTTTCAAGAATCAAGAAATGTTGATCATCACAGATAAAATGGTGAATGAGATCAGAGGCTTCTGGAACAAGAAAAAAGTCAAAGTTCTGAGTTTTGCTGATAAAGTGTAGTGATGAAGTTATGAATCGACAGTCAGAAATCCTGAAGGATTTTATTCTGCTGCTGAATGCAGTTAAAAATCTCAACATAGATG